TTTTTAGTGAAGTATTTTTAATATTAACATGAAAATCATTTTGCATATGGACTATTAAAAACAAATACTTAATATATTCATGGACAAATCTTTATTTTAGTTTATTAAAAATACTTCGCTAAAAATATGATTTTTTGTATGTAAAAGTCTTATAATGTTAACTGAAAGATTGCCAAATTTTGTGAAGATGCATACGCTATATTGAAAGTTAGGAGTATTAAATCTACAAAGAGTTTAAATGAATACAAAGAGGTCACATGGTCAGTTAAATTGACCAAGTCAGTGTTGAGGGAGTTACTCCTTACAAAATAATTGTTGTTAAATTTAGGGGGACTGCAGTGAATATACTGTTAAAACTTGAACTGTGGAATTTGATTGGTTAATTGATTAATCATTTGATTCATTAATCAGTTATTCTCACATGAAATTTGGATAGCTGGAAAAATCAAAAATAGTAATAATTAGAAACTAATTTTGATTAGTTAATTTTTACTTGAGTTGTGACATTAACTCATTAAGTTGGACAACCTTGAATTAATCAAAAATAGGAATGAGACATCATAATGACAATATTTTGATTACTTTTATAGTTTGAATCATTGGAAATACTAATTTTGATTAGTTGATCATTTTCATAACATTAAACATTTTAATCATAATTTGGACTAATCAATTATTTTGCATAATACTAATCAAGGTAGTTAATTCTTGTAAGTAATTAAATTAATCAAAGAGCTCTAGTTGAAAAAGAATAGTATTTTCATAAATAATAACATAAACCATTATATCTGCACTGGTAATCTTTAGAATGTTTTATATTTCATACCTATTGCATTGTTAAAACATATGAGTTGACCTTAGCTTGTGGCATTCAAAGTATTAAACCGTAAAGTGGTGAATACATCTGACAGAGGAAGAACTTGCAGTGTATTTAAGATATTGCATTAATTTATGAAGGTACCTCAACAGAAATTGTCATTCTGTCAGAAAAAGGCTAAGCCTTCTTCTGGTGCAACTGTTTTTGAAATCTAGTAAGATTTAAATTACTTTTTGTAAGAAGACAGCAGTTGTCCTCACTATTAACAAACATATGTTAATGAACTTAGGGTGCTGGAGAATGTTTACTAGTTTTGGGTAGTATGATAATTAAAGTCCATATTTTGTGCACTTTATAAGTTGTATATCAAAACCACATATGTAATAAATTTATTTCTATTTGACAAAATGGTTTAACTTACCTAATTTTTAAGATTTTGGATGCAAAATTATTTAATGATAAATAAATTTCAAACAAATGTTCAAGGTGACAATCTGTATGCTTTAAAGTCTCAGTGTAATGTATTTCAATACCTAAGAGATCTATATCATTGACAGTAGTTTATTATTATTAATTTTTTGGTATATTTTGTGAAATGAGTGGTGGTATATATAAGTTATCTTAATAAACTTGAAGTACTTTTGGTTGTGTTTGAGAGAAAATTTTGGTAGTTTTCGTGAACTTGAAGACCTGAAAAGAATTAGCTTTATTACAATAACTATTTTGTGTTGGAGTGTAATAATTAACTTTAACATGAACTACAATTTTAGATTTTTTTTTCTTCTTGAAAGAAAAGAATTTCACAAAAAAATTTCTTATAAATTATTATCCAGTTTGAAGATTGTTTTTTTAATTAATTTTTATTTACAGAATATTTATGATGATTTTGTGTTGCATGAACTATTAAGTCTTTATAATTTATGGTTTATTTTAATTTTTCTATTTGTTGTAATTATTATCATTGCATATTTTCTTGACTGAAGGTCTTCACTGCATATGATATTCCATTCAGTATGAGTGAGGTAGCAGTTATGTAAAAAGATATTGTGGTCTTTTATTTGTTAAATTAGTTTGTAGAAGACCAATTTGTGAGGAGCTATTTCAGAATAAGAAAGCAATCAAGAATACACAATAGTTTTGTGAGACGAGTTGTGAAATGTTTATTTTTTTAAGCCTTTCAAAAATCCAGTAGTGAGGCATTTCCAAGTGTAAGGTTTTCAGTGCTTTCTCTTTAAGAGTTGACTTTCAGTATTATCAATACAGATGTTAGTAAGGTTCTGGCCCATCTGAATATCAATGACAATTTGTTGTTAGCACACTGCTGTGTTTTTGTCAAGTTAAAAGTTATTTAAGGATAAATAAGATAAAGGAGTGTATTTGATAATTTGAGTTGCTTGCAGAATTTCTAATTCTACTTGTATTACTTGTATAGAAAGAATTATGATTGCACATTAGTATCTTCTCGTAAATTTTTGCCTTTACTAATTAAAAGATTAGGTTGAAGAATTATTATTTGATATTCTACCTTAAAGTAGGTAACAATGGCTTTTAGTGTTTTTAATTATGTAAAAACCATAAAATGTAAACTCATTCATTAATGTATGTGTGTGGGTGTATATAATAATATAATATAATGTTTATTAAGATGTATTAACATTGTGGCATAGTGAAAATTATTTTTTTATCTTTTATGTAAGTGTAAGTGTACTGAAAAATTACTCTGCATGGAAATTTTAGACGCAGTGGTCCTTCAAATGAGCTCCATCTTCGTCTTGAAGAATGCTATGAACAGTTCCGAAATCTTGAGAAAGAAAGAAAAAAGGTAAATGAAAACGAGTTGGATAGTGTTTTTAATTCTCATCTCAAGGACAGTTATGTATGATGTGTAGCAAAAATCTTAATCTCTGACAATATGGTTGATCTACTTTTAGGTATATAATAAGCTTGCTTTATTTTTTCAAATTCTGTTGACCTTTACTTTTATAACAGCTTTGAGAAAGATAATGGTAACATGACTTTATATTTTAGTTATTGCATGTTAATCCTATATCATAAGAGTGAAGTAACAAGATACTTGGTGTCAAAATTGAATTATTGAGCAAATGTTGACACTCACATGTGTACTACCATTCAAAGTAAAAGTTATCAGTTTCATTATGAAGACATGATGTGCTACATTTGTAACTTGAAATAAAATACCTTTCTTAATAATCAAGTTTCATTTTTTTAAGCCAAACACCATGCAAGATACATGCATAAGCAATTGTAGAGTATAGAATTGTATTTCCATATACTGATATCCATCTTTCGTTGAAAACATTTTCATGGATTTAGAAAATAAGTAAATAAATAGACTGGTTCTCAGCCAAAAGTATATTAACCCTTTCACTGCTTGTGCTGTAATAGCCACAGTATGATATCTGTTTGCCATAAAATCTGTAGCATATATTGACCTTTCCTTAGTTACCCTGTATAGATATATTTGTCTTGGCTGTGCATCCTGGGGAAGTCCCTAAGTTTTCAAGTTGTTATATGATTGTAAATTACGTGAGAGTCATGAGACTGTCACATATCTTCAGTATGATGAAGTGCTTTTGCAGAAATTTTTATATAAATCCTGGGGACATTCACTTCTGTGCTTCCACAGCTGTATGTCATTGTGTAGCCATGATCAGTTTGAAAAAATAAATAATAAACAGAATTAAATATGCTCTCATTAATATGAAAGGCTTCCCTTCCTATTGTCCCAGCAAAATCAAAGTAGTGGATGTTGGAGAAGTCCTGTGAATTATCCCAAATAGGTTTAGAATATTGGATATCTGAAAAGTGTGCACTGTGGTTATGTATATCAAGGTGAAAGAATAATGTAACTTAGACCCACTGTTCTAAACAACATAATTCATTCATCTTCATATACATACTTACAATAGACTTAAAAGTATTGTGCAAGCAATTTTTTTAGTGCTACTGAAATATGAACTAATATGCTGTCTCAAAACAAAGGATTCTACCATGAAATCATAACCAACCTGTTTTATTAGCTCTAAAACTAATTGGGAAAAAAGTACATTTTAACAAAATTATCGAAGAAAAATTGTTCTGCACAGGAAATAAACACAAACTGTCACAGTGAATATGTTAAACCACAGCCAAGAAAATTTTTTTTTTTTTCCATTAACACATTACATAGAAATCAAGAATAATGATCGTATTTTCATCTTACCTGGTATAAACATTACCATTTATTCAGAACTTCCTGAAATCTGTACACAAAGTTTTTTTCATGTTGTGTTATCTGTTTAAAAACTTGGATGTAGGTGAAATAAAAGCATAAATGGGCTATACAAAAAAGTTAACATAGAAATCAGTGCATTTACCAAGCACACACCTCTTCATCCTATCCAGCCTCTTAACTTACAGATTCTTTATTTTATTGCTAGTTTCTTGGAAACAAAATTAAAAAAAAAACCTTATAACTTGAAAGAACTAACCACAGATTAACTGAAATTTGCTACATACTTAAGCGGTTTAGTCACTTTTTTTTTAACTTGTCATTCAGTTTTGTAATATATGTTAAATTGTAGATAGTTTGAATTTGAATTTCAATACAGAATCTGTATACTTTTGGAGTGTTTTTTAAGCATACTACTGCAGTAAATTAGTCATGAGGACTAAAGTTATTGTTGGCTTTCTAATTATGCTCAAAAAGTCAAACCAATAGTAAAAATTTAATTTTTGTGAAGTTGTATTAATTATTTTTAACTATGGTATTATAAAATAAGTCCATAGGTGATAAGAATTTATCAATTATACTTTAATATTTTGTTTTAATAAAAGAAAACAGTAAAAGCACTTTTTTTAATAATGATTTGATAAAAAAGTAGCAGATACAGTATGTAGATTGAATATCTTTTAGTATGAATTTTGTTGCATATGGTTATTCATTCATATGGGACAGAAATTGTTACAACAGGTGGATTATAAAGAAAAAGAAAATTTGAAGTTGCATTATTGAGCCAATTTTTAAAAATTTGATAAATCAATAAAATATTTATTTATAGACAAATTAAGTGATATATTGATATATGAAAGCACTTTTAAATCAGTTTTTGTTTTGCAAATTGAGGTATGGTTTAAAATTGATCACTTTTTCTTAAAATAAAATTTTTTCTCATTCAGTAATTTTCAGCTTTATCAGTCTAAATATGTTACATTAAAGCTTTTGAAATACAGATTCATAATTGTCTGTTAAATCTGTCTCTCTGGCAGCTGTGTTACCACACTGCTATTTTATGTATTTTTTAGGAGTAATTGAATCATGTTTGTTAGTTCTATTAATAATCTAGGGGTCTTCAATGTACATTTTACTGTAAAGATGATCCATTATGTATGTATGTGTCATAGCATTTATCACCAAGAGTTGGTTGGATTGATTACTGTAATTTTTTGTTATTGTAACTGGAAACTGTTTGATACTATACTTGGGCTTTATGTTTTTAGATTTTTTTGTGAGAAGGGGTATAAAAAGCTACTGAAATGGGACAATTTTCTACTTTTGTATACACTTTTAGCTTGCATCACCCACATGTGAATGATTCGATTACTGTAATTTGTGGTATGATTATTGGAAACTGTCTGATGCTGTATATGGGCTATTTTATTTGGGGATTTTTGCACAAAAAGCAGGATAAAAAAAACCCTGAAATAGGGCACATTTTCTCTCTCTCCTTTTTGTTTCTATTATAGACTTTTCTCATACATCATCCAGAATTGGCTGACATCATTGTAATTTGTTTGTATGGTAACTGGAAACTGTTCAACATAGTACATGGTCTGTTTTGTTTTAGGATTTTTCCAGAGAAGGGAATAAAAAAAGGACCCTGAAATAGGGTACATTTCCACTTTTTTTTTTAAATTAGACTTTTGGCTTCCATTACCCAGAGTTGGTTGGCTCGATTACTGTAATTTTTTGTATGGTATCTAGAAACTGTCTGACACTTTACATGGATTACTTTGTTTTAGGATTTTTGCCTGAAAGGAGGATAAAAAATACCCTGAAATAATACACATTTTCTCTTTTTCTATAGACTTTTGGCTTTGACTTTAGACAGAAGTATTTAATCAGTTAATGATTCACTTATTACCTTCCACTAAGCAGGTTATGCAATTAACATCTAATGAGGTCATTAGGGATTTAATAACAAAAAAAGGAAGAATATTGATGTACAAGACCCTAAAAAAAAGACCCAATTATAAGAATTTTTATGTTTTTATATCTTATTTATTTTGAAAAAGTACAATTAATGTTTAGTTGGCAATTTTGCATTATTATTTAACTAATTTTTGATGCCTTATTTCCCTCGAAGTTTCATTACATTAAGCCCTAACCATGTTAATGTTACATAGTATCTTAAGGAAACAAACAATCAATGACCTGTAAAACTTTTAAACAGTGGCTTTGGCCAATCACATTCAATGTTTTCATTCTAACCAGCTTGGTCTGCCAGCCAAGTACAGTGAAGTACAGCCTGTAGTAAGACTAGACTTGCATCAGAACTTCCACACATACTACTATACCATAATATGTACACAATGCCTGACTGCTGCACAGGTATATATACACACACACTGCTGATATGTACTGCCATTCATACTCATAGTTTGTATTGAACTGGAGAGAGGTAAAGCTAGCCTTATTTATTGTTATTCTGTTTTGTACTGATCAAAACTTTCATGAAATTTTGTTTGCAGTTATCATTATTATGCTCTGTTTAATTCATGGATTTACCTGATTTTCTCATGGTAGCTAGGTCTTAATGTTTCCTAGACTCAATTTGTCATGTCTAACGTTAGTCTTAGGCCTATACGTGCATAATTGAAATGGTGTCAGTATTTCAACTGTGATGGTTAACAATGAAAATTCTGAATTTGATTTTGTAAATTTAATCAGTTTACATTAGCTCTACAAGCATTGGTTAATGGGCTCCCAATGTGGCTTATTACTTTTGACACAACAATGACTTCTCCAGTATGTTAAAAGTACAGCAATAAAATCCTAAAATTAAAAGAAAACATGTGGAAAGGTTAAGATAAGTAATTTGGAAATTTATGGTCATAATTGCAGTCAGTGCAGAAGAAGAAGAAGTGATATTATTCATTTTATTTTATACTTTCAACTTTTTGTTTCATTATACTTTGATAATGTCACTACAGTTAGTGTTATGTTAGAAAAAATGTAGTTTTACCAAAACATTTGATATTTGTTTCGGAGGATTAAATAGTATATTCAACTATTGTATGTATAGCTTCACAGGCTCAATCCAGTGGACTTCCACTGCTCTTTGCTTTTATGCAACTACAAATTTACCAGTGTATAATTGTGAAAAATTGTTTCAAATATCATGTATTTTTCTCCACAATTCAGCTAAGCTGTTTGGTTGACATTTGAATTCCTGTTTTGATACAAGCTTGTACAGCCTTAATGATATTATTATCGGGGCTTCATGCTGGTAGATTGCCAGCTTTCTCAAGCTTTGCATCATTATGGATCTTCTACAGACTTCCTTGGCAGAGTTACTGGCCTTCTGCCAAGATCATCTGCTATTTTTCAGACTTTTTGTGTTGGGAACCATCATTTTCAGTATTTTGAATCATCTTCAGGTATAAACATTTCTGTGGATCATACATTTCAAGCATATCCTTTTTGAATTTCAAAGAGATCTAGTGATTCATATGTCATGATACTGGTGGTGGTGGTGGGGGATTCATCAGGTTTCTCAATCTTTAAAAACTGTAGTGTGTGAATTTTATAGCTTCTATCAT